ATTTATTTATTTATTTATTTATTGGTGCTTCAGCCCCCCAATTGTCTGTGGGACAGCAAGCCGGCCCCTGGCTCAAAAAGGTTGCCTACCCCTGGTATAAACACTAAATTTGCTGGATGGAGCCATCTTTTTGCATGTCAAACACAGGACTAATCTCTTTCAAATCAGGTTGCCTAAGTTACCAATCTGTTTGTAGGTGGTATGAATAATGCAGGAGGAGCCTAAGTAAATGGGTGTTGGAAGTGGCTACAAAAATAAAACATTTTCCTAAGAAGTGCAGCAGCAATTTGATTTTAAAAAATGTTTATAAAACATCTAGTGCAGGGATAGGCAACCTTTCCCCTTTAAGGGCCGAGGGACTTCAGCTCCCAGAATCCCAGGAGCTATTGGCCAACATGGGACTATTGGCCAACATGGCTGAGGCTTCTGGGAGCTGAAGCCCCTCGGCCCTTAAAGGGGAAAGGTTGCCTACCCCTGATTTAGTGTGATCATATTCACAGGGACAAAGATAGGACAGCAACCAAATGCAATTCTGTGGAATGAGGAGTTATGGTTACATCACAGTTTTTTTAAATGGTATAGCAATATTGTTGCACTGGAATAAACATGCTGGTCTGACTATTTCAACAGTAGGATCAGTGGTGTACAAGTGAACTTTAATATGCAGGGACTGACCATTACCATTCCCACAGATACTCTTCCAAGGAGAGTCCAGAAAATGCAGGTGACTGTGTTGATCCATATCAACAATCTAGTTCTAGCAGGCTCTGTCTTCACTATCAGCAGGACTTTTATTAAGTTTATGGATCTCAATTCAGGGACAATCCAACCCCAAATACTTTGTGTTACAACAAAGATAGCTCACAACATATTACTGCTGTGCGAAATCCATCTCCTCCCAATAGCTTCTGTGAAAACGGCAGTCGAGAAAGTATATTGAGCAGAAGAAGAAAAAGCAGAACTTTTTCCTCCAAATGTTTTAGATCACCATTCGGGCAGCTCCTTATTGCTGGATGTGCTAGGTGGGGCTGAGTTGTACATCGGAACATCTAGCAGGTCAAAGGTTCTCTAGCCCCAGATGAATGTTCATTTGACATGTAGCTGTTGTTTGAGAGGGTGGTCTCCATGGAGTTGTTCAAAATCCTACAAAACAACCCTGAAGCTACCTACTGACTGATTAAGGTGTCTCTTAAGCCCCATCAGCACTTCCTTTGTGGATCCACAGTAAGTAGCTGATCTTCCTTCAGCTCCATGTCTTTACATCACACTGTATTTTATGATATTTTTATGTTATCCAAGTTCCTCTAACAGTACTCAGATCATGGAAAAAAACAATATGAGGGCTGAGATCCAAGGTAAGACCAAATGTGTTCAGCTGCTCATGTGCACTGACTATAGTGTAAATCCATGTGTAAAGAATTAACCAAACTTCTTGGCATGATATCCATACAAACAATTCTGTCTGTGTATACAGCTGTGACATGTGGGAACTCAAATCAGACTCCCCATGGCAGTTACATCTTCTGCATTAGCTGTCAGAATCCTATTTATAATGAAATAACTAAAGAGACATTCCTTCTTTAGATAAACAGAGATTCCTAAATAGAGCTATTCCTTCTTTAGAAACATAGCCGTAAATAGAAACTGAAGAATCATCTGAAACCCTTGTTGTTATGACTATTGTGTACACAACAGCAAAAAAGGTGCACCATATGAGTACTAGAACAGATGAAAAAACAAGATTAGCTTTAAAAATAGCCAGGACAATGCCTTAAAACATTTCTTAAAATATCTAAATATTATTTTAACAATCTGTATCATATTATGCTGTAGGAGTTTAGTCATTTTCTCTGTTGGTTCATTTCTTTTTTCTTTTTTTACATTTTCATGTACTCTCTATATTGTTACTTTCCATATTTATTCATTGCTGTTAGTGTCAGGTCCCTTTTTACACTCCCTTAATCATTTAGTGGTTTGGTGTAGTGGTTTGCACATTGGACTAGGACACCAGGAGACCAGGGATCAAATCCCTGCTCAGCCATAGAAAACCTTTGGGTGACCTTGGTCAAGTCATACTCTCTCAGCCTCAGAGGAAGGCAAAGGCAACCCCCTCTGAACAAATCTTGCCAAGAAACCTGTGTGATAGGTTCTCCTTATGGTTGCCATAAGTCAGAAATGACTTGAAGGCACAGAGCAACAATTTTCTATTCCTCTTCCATTTTAATATATCAACATGTTCCGTGGCATGTATACTGGGGGAGAATCCAAATATAATCCTTCCCATTTCAATACAGGGAGAAATTAATACAAAACTGTGAATAGAAATAACATAGGATACATGTCTATGTGTGTAGTCAACAAGGGTTTCTTATTAATAGATAAAGTGCCTTGCAGACATTTTCAGACACACCCTTCATCTGGAGAATCAAAATTCAAAGGGAATTGATTATGTCTGCAAGGTATACAGGATTCCACTGCCAGTAGAAAGTCTCACTCATGAAAGGTTCTTCCAACCCAGTTTTCAAGGAATCCCTCTTCACCCTCTTCCACATCCCACCTAAGGTCAAGGTCCCTCACCTCCAGTTTAGCATTTTCAGGGGACTGAGTGGATTGCTATCCACTAGGATGTGTGTGGAAATCCCTACCAGATCCTACCCACTGTTAATTATTTTGGAGTCCATTATACCAAATTTATAAAGATTTTCAGTTGGGATTGTAGACACTGACTCTAAATTTACTCCCATCTCACTAATAACTTGGAGGTATTGGAATGTAAATGACATAGGAATATAAATTAAGTGACAAAGACATTTGTTAAAATAACATCTCTATCTATTTTATGTTTGTCCCTAACAAGTACTGTCAGTCTCTTTTTCTCACTTTCAAGATATGAAATGGCTGTTGTGAATGACTCTTCATCCCACTTACCAGCATCTGTGACCTTAACAAGAACACCATATGGCTTTTTATGTCTGCAGCAAAGAGAATACCAATATTTATTAATGCCAGAAAATCCACAGTCTGTTCCATAGTTTCTAAGGTGCATATCCACTGATATCTATCTGCGTTGTTGAAATTGTGGATCTGAGCTGTCATGGCAAAGATTTTCTTGTTCTTTTTTACTTACCTGTTCACAGCTGCATCCACACTGCAGAAATAATCCAGTTTGACATCACTTTAACTGCCATGGTTCAATGCTACAGGATCATGGGTATTATAGTTTTGTGAGACATTTAGCCTTCTCTGGCAGAGAGCTCTGGTGCCACAACAAACTACAGTTCCCAGAATTCCATAGCATTGAACCACAGCAATTAAAATGGCTTCAAACTGGATTATTTCTGCAGTTCAGATGCAACCCATATTTTAAGGCTCCTGTTGTGTATTGATACCCTTGTCCTTCATAATCTCCATCATTTTCCACTTGTGGATCCCTATGTAGCCAAAACACCACCATTCACACACCAGTGGGAGGTATCAGAAGGATTGAGGAAATCTCAAAGTTTGGAGAAGTACAAAATCCTGATGAGAGGGAATATAAGGGAGGGATATAAGAGACCTGTGAGAATGCTAAGATCTTCATAGGAAGGCTTTCTCTTGGTCCCACCACCATTGCAGACTTGCTTGGTGAGGACATGAGAGAGAGCTTTCTCAGTAGCTGCTCCCACCCTTGGAACTCCTGTGAGAGTCTATCCTCCTCCCTGTTTCCCTTTCACTGACAAGCAAAGGTATTTTTATTTAAGTAAGTTTTCAGTGATCAAGCAGGTAAGCTTCTTATTTAGATTTATGTTTTCTCTGGGTTTTTTTAGGGGGGGGTTAGGACAAGGTGGCTCAGCAGTTAAGTTGTTGACTCTGATAATTGCAAGGTTGGCAGTCTGAGACCCAAGCGCTGGGTGACAGAGTGAGCTCCTGCCACTAATCTGAGCTTTTGCCAACCTAGCAGTTTGAAAGCATGTAAAAGTGCAAGTAGATAAATAGGTACCATTTCGGTGTTCCATGCACTCATGCTGGCCACATAACCATGGGATTGTCTTTGACAACACTGGCTCCCTTGACTTAGTAATGGAGATGAGCACCACCCCCTACAGTCGGAAAGGACTAGACAACCATGTCAAAAGGGAAACCTTTACCTTCATCTGTTTTTAACTTTTGTATGATTTTAAAATGATTTTATTGTGTTTTAATGTGGGGATTTTAAATTGTTTTAAACAATATATTATAAACAGTTGTAATTTGCTGTCTTTGAAAGGTACCTTGGGTCCTATCCTGGGAGAAAGGCAGCATATGAAAAAAAGAAGGAAGGAAGGAAAGAAAGAAAGAAAGAAAGAAAGAAAGAAGGAGAAAGAAAGATAGGGGCATGCTCAGTGGCTGAAAATGGATTGCTGAGGCTTAAAACAATAAAAAATAGATGAGGGTCAGAACAGAGTCTCCTGGAAAAGGGCATGACTGGCTGGCTGGCTAGAATGATAGAACCCTTCACAACACAACATGTCATATCAGGTCTCACTAGAACTATATTATGTGTGTATATGTGCCTTCAAGTTACCCATCACCTTTCTTAGGGAAGGAATAAACCTTATTTCATCCT